TTTAGGGGTTAGGGGTTCTAGGGGTTTAGGGGTTTAGGGGTTAAGGGGTTTAGGGATTACGAGGCTCGGGGGTTGTGGTTTAAGGAGATTCAAAGCTTGGGGGTGAGGGGGCGTTAAACGCGTTTTTGGGTTTAGGGTTTAGGGTTTAGGTTGGGTCCGTCTTCCGCGTAAGGACTGAGGCGTGGCCTTAGGAACTTCGGTCTCAGGCTGCATTCCTTCGAAAGATGTCCACTGTGTCTTCCTAGTATATGGGCCTCAATAATTGCCTTGATTATTTTTGGGGTTCCTTATTATGACTATAGCATAATATATCCCAACACCCTATTCTAATTATTGAGGCTTCTACATTAGTGTGCTTCCTGGGTGCTGTGGAGACTTCGCAGCGTCGAGCCTTCGAGAGCTTTCGTGGGGCGCCTGAGGGAGACCCCACAGCCCTGCAAAATCCAGGCCCGACCTCTTGGCCTTTGGAACAACCCTAAACCCTAAACCCTAAACCCTAAACCCTAAACCCTAAACCCTAAACCCTAAACTCCCTCCTCTGCCGCCCTCCCTCCCCCCCCCCCCCACGGAGCACAGAGCAAGCCTGGACAGTAGGGCCTCCCCAACTCTGCAGCTTGCGCAGCTCCCTCTGCTCTGAATCCCTCGGCTTGTCTCTGGTTTAGGGTTTAGGGTTTAGGGTTTAGGGTTTAGGGTTTAGGGTTTAGGGTTTAGGGATTTTTTTTCATTTCATGGAGCTCCAACTTGAGCTCCCGGAGAACTCACTTTCTTCAACCCCGGAACCCTTAGCCTTAGCCGTAGCCCGCAAACGCTGAAACCTTAACCCTAAACTCTAAACTGAAGCATCGCAACCCTGGATCACCAAACCTAAGAGTAGCATAGGGTTTGCCCAAAGTTTGGAGGCTAGTGCAAGGCTTTTTATGCGGGGTTCTATAAGGGGTTGAGGGTTTAGGGTTTGGGTTTTGGTGGTGGGTTAGAATTCGGGTGGAGTCTCTTTGTGAGTTAGAACCCTAAACCCTAAACCCTAAATAAGTTGGGCTTGTTTCGGGCTCAAGAGCTGAGGTCTTCCTCCATGTCTACGACGTCTCGCAGGAGGAAGGCATACAGAAGATCAACCGTGTGCTGGCACACAAGCACTCCCCACTCAAGTTTGGGGGAGTCTTCCATGCCGGCGTCGAAGTGATCCGTCTGCAGAGCCAGCGCCCTAACACCCAAGGCCCACGGCCCAAGCAGCTGTGAAACAAAACTTACAAGGACCCATAACAGTTCCCTGCTCTTAAGGCCCGCACCTGTCGCACCCTAAACCCTAAAACCCTAAA